AGAGAGAGAGAGAGAGAGAGAAGGAAATCCCAGTTATCTCAGAATACAGCTTTATCTGGAGACAGGGTATTTACAGAGGTCATCAGCTTAAAATGAGATCATTAAGATGGGTCTTCATCCAAAATGACTGGTATTCTTATAAAAAGGGGAAATCTGGTCATAGAGACAGACACACAGAGGAGATCATGTGAAGACGCAGAGGTGGAAAGTCAGGATTGACGGCCAAGGAGAAAGACCTGGAGACAAACAGGCCTGCCGACCCCTGGGCCTCCGACTTCAGACCAGAGTGGGAGACAGTAAGTCTGTGGTTTAAGCCACCCAGGCCACCACACTTGGTCACGGTGGCCTGGACACACTGATAAGGTGGTGCATTATGTTTTATTTTCCTAATCCCTTTGATGGACACCTTGATGCCAAAAGAATATTTTTAGTGCACAGTGCGACCTATCAAACACAACCAAACTCCTTCTGGTCCACTCTTCTCTGTAGACAAACAATCTGTAGGGGTTACGAATGCACATTCATTCATTTCTCCAGGATGGATCCCCTGATTTCAACACAGTACACCTTCTTCAACCGAGGCCACCCGGAAACAAGGCACTGTGCAGGTAGATGAGGTGCAGTTACAGAGTTCTCACGACTCACAGTGAAGTCCTGAGTGAACGGCGACATTATGGCAGCTTTTTGGTTGCAAGTGATAGAGACCCCACTTGCTCTAGCCTGCAGGAAAAAGGGAAGTAATTTGGAGAACAGGATCCTGTGGGACTTAAGCACGGGATACCCCTGAGTGAGGGGGGTTGGGGACGGTCACTGCAGGAAGGTGGGTGCTTCAGCGGTTTCCCAGCTTCCTGGGAGAGGTGCCATTGCAGCAGGGTATCATTTCTAGAAAACCCAAAGCTCCAGTGATGCCCACCGAGGGCCCTGATAGTGCCATCTCCATGGGCCACAGAGAAGACCTGCTCCCGGGCAGAGGTGCCTTTGATGGGCAGTCGGGGCCCCCCAAGCACGTCCCACCCCCACCCACAGCTGCACGTGGGTCCTCCCAGGCTGAAGAAGAAAGCGGTGGGGCCCGACTGTCTAACCGGGGCTGGGCTCCGCCTGCAGGCAGATCCGGGCTGTGGTGGCAGCTCAGTGCTTGCCAAGCGAAATACCAGTTGGGAGATGTCGCTGGCGTGCAATGTAAAGAATAGCTTGACTGGCACTTGAGGTTATTTAGAAAAATACCTTGGGTCACGTGCTTTCCAGAATGCTGTGCGCTTGCGATGAATCATCCCTTCCCAGCCCAGAGCAGATTTAATTACATCCCCTCCCCTGTTGCCTCTTTTAAAACTTGACCTTCTTTTCTGGTTGCTATTCAAATCCAGCAAAATATCAACTTGGTTTTCTTTTTTGGAAGCCTGGGGAGGAATCTTTCTACAGCTGAACAGTTTCAGAGGAGAAGCAGGGAGTGGAGCTTTGCAGAGAACCGTGCAGAACACCCTTAATGACTGGGAAAATGTCACGTATTTGAGAGGACGATATGGTCATTTGTATCAATGACCACACCCAGATTGTAAAAAAAAAGCAACCATCTAAGGTGATACAAGAAAATAGGCTGCTGGTGAGATGGCAGGAGCCATGCAGCCTCCATGTGCATCTGCAGGTGAGGGTCACTGGGGTGCTAGGGCTGAAGTACTTGATTTGAGCTTTGCTTTTCTACATCCAAATATCCCTGCTCGCCTCTGGTGTTCTATTTGGAGAATTACCCATGCCAGGGAGTTCTCTCAACCAAGCACCCACAGCTAAGGACCTCTGGCCTACCTGAGCATTGAGGTGTTCAGTAGGTAAAATCGCCTGTCCACCCACAGTTTGAAAGCAGGTGCTTCTGCTTGGCCCCTGAGTCCTGGTGTCACCTCATGAGCTCTGGACTCAGAGAGAACTGCACTTGGGCCTTGGCTCTGCCCTTCGCCTAACAGTCTGAATCCCAGCCTCTCCATTGATGATTAGGAATACAGTCATCCCTCAGTATCCGTGAAGGTCTGGGGTCAGCATCCCCCAGGAATGTCAAAATTCAAGGATGCTTGGGTCCCTTAGATAAATGGTGTAGTATTTGCATATAACCTACACACATAGCCTACCCTACACTTTGTCTCCTGATTACTTATATTACCCAATACAACGCTAAGACTGTGTATTAAATAGCTGTCATGTCGCCTTGTGTGGGGACTAATGACAAGAAAGTGTCTGTCCATGTTCAGTAGGGACACCATTTTTTTAAAAAAAAAATGTTTTCTATGTGTGGTTGGTTGGATCTGAGACTGTGAAACCCAGGAGATGGAAACTGGCTGTAATCATAAGCTCTGGTGAGGATCGGATGAGATCATCAGTCTAGGCACCTGGCACAGCCCTCAGTGCCACACACGGGGGCGGGGGTGGTGCTGTTGCAGAATGAACCCTCGGTCCAGCCAGAATCAAGCCAGCCCAGTAACCAGGCAGAGGTGAAATTAGCCAGTGATAAGGACAAGAGGTAGCACTGCAGGCATAGAGCATGCTTTTACTTGGAGTCTCACCTCCATTACATTGTTTTGTCCTTCTGCCATGCCCCGGAGAGGCAGGGCAAAGATCCTCAGCCCCTTGGCGTCACTGATCAGAGTGACTTTCCAAGCAGACGGGGAGCCCTGCCCTGTGAGTGCGTGATTGACAGTGCCCCAGCATTGCGATGGAATTGGCCACCGAACAGAGGGCCACTGGGTGGGCAGGGTGATAGAGACATCCGAAGGGTATTAGGACCAGACTTGAAGCCCCTGAGGGCAGAATCGCTACTTTCACATCTTCAGGAGGTGCACAGTTTTTGGTGTGGATCTGCATACAGGAGACACTCATTAAATACCCTCTCTGCTCAGAAACCTATTCCCCGAGTCCTAGACTCTGCTCAGCCTCTGTGACTAACCATTCACACTCTAAAAGTTATAAATCAACCAAAATGATCATTCATCTCTGGTAGCCAGAAGAACTGTGCGTAGGATTTGATAGAGACCTTTGTCCAGGGCCCTGCTGATGGCCAAGGGTCCAGGGAACAATCCCTGGAGTCAGCATTTGGGCAAGGTCATGAACTGAGCCTCAGTTTCCTTTATCTCTAACGCAGCATCACAAAAATACGCACCTTGCGAGGTTTTGGGGTAAGGGAGAGTAAAGGGACAGCGTTGGTGCCCGGGTTCTGGGGCTGAACTGTTGGCCAGAGTAACGAACGTTGCGTGGCTCAGTAGGACGTGGACCAGGCTCCCGCTCTCACTTTCTTTGTGTTCCCAATTAGTCCTCAGATCTAGGAAGATGCTGATCCCATCAAACCACATTAATATGTCAGTTGGAAGTGGATCAGAATGGATCCTTCTCATCGCGGCTCCCCTGAGGACAGGGAGAGTGACTTTGAGTGGAAATTCAGCTCTGCCAGGAGTCCCATCTTCCCAGAGAGCCCTGGATCTGGAACTTTCCTGAGCCTGTGTCCCAGACCCCGTCTCTCCCAGTTTCATCGTCTTTTCCTGCTTCTGAGAATTGTGCTTGGGCGGTGTTAACTTAAACTCAGTTCGTGGCCTGAGGACGTCTCCTTCCTGGGTCCTTCTGCCAAGAACTGCAAAGACGAAACTCGGTCCATCCTCTGGCTCAATAAACTCCTAACAGGAACATGCTTTTGTAGCAAGTAGCTGAGCCCCAGCCAATCACAGGCGATCATCGGATCACGTGACAATGACCTGCTGGCCCCTCTCTTTCAGGGAAAGACCCTCAAGACAGGGCCCTCTCCTTGTTCAGGTTCCTGAAGCCAATGATGAAACAGACACGGACTGTCAACAGCACAGCTCTATTCAGGGGCCACAGATTGGACAGGTGGGAGTGGACTCCGCCAGGGGGCTATGAGGGCATAGACGGAGGGCAGCAGAAGTTCTCAGGTAAGGGGCGTTGGTTTTCTAGGAACCTGGAATCCAGGTGCTGCCCATGTTCTTTCCTCATGAAGTCCTTCCCGGCTGCAGCCACGGTGACTATGAACTATCATGGCGCTGGTGGGCAGGGCGGTTGGCGTGGAAATGAGGTTGGGGGTCTATTAGAGATTGTGTGGGCAGCCATCCTGGATCTGCTGGTTCATGTTTATCAGCTGTTTCTAGACCTCAACAGAGTAGGGTGGAGCAGGCAGACCTGGCTGCGTGGATATTGTTCTGGGCATGAACAGGGTCAGGGCAGGTGCGCACAGAGCAGCAGCTTTCAGGCTGTGCCCAGCCCAGAGTTACTCCGTTGTAAAAGCAGCTGTTTCATTTTGAGCACCAGTGCTAAGGCAGAACGATGTGGTAACTTGTCTGAGCAAATAGATAATCCTCAGATGTTGGATGTTGTTGAGAATAACAACCCTCAGTTGCACAAAACAATCATCAGGCGCAGACTGATAAACAACTTATTCACGCTAATAAAAATGTCCACCTGGAGAACCATTAAACTAAATCAGGAGCCTCTGGACACATGGATTTATCAAACCATAGAGAAAGCAGAAACATGAGCTTGTCAATCATACCAGACGCAACCCCTTCACCTAAGAAGCAGGAAAGGAGGGGCACCTCAAACTGCAGCGTGACCTGCTGACCTGTCACCAGGTCACTCCTCACGATCCTTGCCCAGGAAATTGCCACAGTGAATGACTTTCCTGCCTGTCTTGCTGCTTGCTTCCAAACTGTCATCCAGACCCTGGAGGCACAGCCCTGTGCCTTGAGGCTGAGCAGAAGGGGTACTCTTCTGACCACCTGTGGAGACTTTTCACATTTTTATGACTCTGGGCTTTGACCTCTATGCTCCTCTCTTTAAATCCTGTGACCATTTTAACCCTTTCTCAGCCCTTCTGTAACCTATGATTGGGTAGAGTGTGATGTGTGATTTAAATGTCATAGGTATTTGTAATTAAGATGGGAATAAAATAAAAGAACTTGTGATTGCGGGGTCACGATTACCAAACGAAACTAAGAATACTCGGTGAATTAAAGTCAGTGCAATTGATGTAGCTTTATTGTGGGATACATTCTGACATTGTGGAAAGACACAACACGCCCAGCCTATGTTGTTGGGAAAGCTCTTCACCGGAGGGTAGGCCGGTCCGGCTTGGGTAGGCACTACTGGGTTACAATCAGGCCACGTTCCGATGAGGTAAGCGGAACTCTAACCCGAGCAGCTGACCCTGAGCCTCATCTCCGTTTCCTGTCCATAACGCTGTCTGCCCCTCTTGTGGAATGGAGCTCTCTGTGCCTTTGCTGGTTCTGAGGGCTACCTGATTCGTGAATCATTCTTTTTTTTTTTTTGCCCAATTTAATTCGAAGGGACTTCCATTCACTTTGGGAGGACATTTTCGACAAGAAGACTTAAGATTCTTTCTTTCTTAGGTAGTCAAGATTGTCTATGTGGAGAAACTGGATCATGAGTCAGATGAATCAGTCAATCAAACTGTGTTGTCGGGAGGTTTTGATAGCCACAGTCAAGGTGGAACTCTGCGGACCTTCCGGCTGCTTCCTCTGGCCACTCAATTCTTCCCTCCTCCAGCCCACCTTGATGGAGGTCACTCCCAGATTCCCCACCTCCCCAGGACCTCAGCTGTCCTTGACCCTCCTACCCCACCAAAGTCCTTTAACACATGCCATTTATTACACAAAGTTCATTAACAATTTTAAATGAGAGCCCCCCCAGGGCATCGTGGTCAGGAACCTTCTCTCTGTGGAGGAGCATCTCCATACAGACCGAGCAGTGCCAAGGCACAGTCATGGGAATCGGGGAACCAGGGTCCTGGGAGGAGGCAGGAAGCCGGCAGTGGGGGACCGCCCAGGAGAGGAGGTCAGTGTGAGTGGGGCTGGGTGGGAGCCTGCTGGGAGACAAGGGGCAGGACCATGGATAGAGGCCCTTTAGGCTTGGTCTTCCCCATGAACTTCATTTCAAATTTGATGAAAAGACCTCGGAGGTCTTTAAAAAAAAAAAATGGCAAAATATACATAACATAAAATTTGCCATTTTAACCACTTTAAGTGTGCAGTTCAGTGACATTAAACACAGTCACATTGTTGTGAGACCTCCAGCCCCGGCCATCCAGGAGATCTGGCTAAGGGGGAAAGTCTGTCCCCACTGAAGTCCAGCTCCCCACTCCCTCTTCCCTGACCCCCTGGAATCCCTGTTGGCCAGCTTTTTGTCATCGTGACCAAAACACCTGACACAAACAACTTGAGGAGGAGAGATTTATTTGGGTTTGGATCTGTGGGTCCATGGCTCTGGATGAGGCGACACATCATGGTGGAAGGGTGTGGTGGGGGACAGCTGCTCATCTGGGAGGCAGAGTGTGCAAAGGGGCTGAGGACAAGGGACATCCCTCCAGGATCACCTGCTTCCTCCCAGGGGACTCACCTCCTAAGATTTCCATCACTATGCCATCAAATTATTAACCCACTGGGGAGGTCAGAGCCCCTGAGGGCCCGTTACTTCCCCACAGCGCCACCCTAGAGCGCCGGGAATGAGCCTTCAACCCACGGGACTGGGGGACACTTTATGTTCATGCCCCACCATTCGACCTGCACCCGTGAGCTGGCTCCTCTAGGCACCTCCCACAAGAGGAATCCCACAGTGCCTGTCCTTCTGTCTGTCCTTCTGGGCCTGCTTGTTTCACTTATAACCTTGAGCCACAATACCCTCAAGGTTCTGGGGTGTGTCAGCATGTCTTTTGGATCCTGTGGTAGTTTCACATCATTTTCCATCCCCACCAGCCGTGCATGGAGTCCAGTTGCTCTACATCTTCACCAGAACTTACTCCTTCCTTCCTTGTACCGGGGATTGAGCCCAGGGGTGCTCAATCACTGAGCCACATCCCCAGCAGCCCTTTTTTACTGTTATTTTATTTAGAGACAGGGTCTTGCTAAGTTGCTCATGACCTCACTAAGTTGCTGAGGCTGGCTTTGAACTTGCAATCCTCCTGCCTCAGCCTCCCAAGCTGCTGGGATTATAGGTGTGAACCACCATACCTGGCCTTGTTTTCTTTCTTTCTTTCTTTTTTAAATGCTACTAGTCCTCCTGATGGGTATGTTTTGGTGGGTTTTAAGCAGGAGCATGATGTCATCTGGCTTGTGTGTTTGCAAGTTCCCTCTGGGCACCATGTGAGAATGAGGTGAAGGGCAGGTTGCCCACGCCATTACCATCCTGACGGGGATCGTTTTGAGAATGAATGGCGAGGTCTCCATGAATAAGCAAGCAGGGACGATGTGCAAAGTGATATTGTCCTAGTCAAAGCAGACATACGGCCACCTGTGTTTGGGAGGTGGGAGGGCAGCAAGTTGAGGCTAGCAAGGAGGCTGTCACAGAGAGGACAGGGTGGGCGGCTCTGGAGGTGGATGGCATCTGTCGCCAAAGAGAGGACTGAAGGCCAAGACCGATCACACTGCAGAGAGAGGAGCTGGGAAGGTAGACACAGGGCAGGAGGTGGGAAGCCACTGCCACCCCCAAAAGAGGACATGAAGGAGAAGGTGGCGTTCACAGGCCCACCCTCCTCAGGTGTTTCCTATGAGGCTAGAGCCATGGAAGGCTGGTGGCCAGAGCTGTGCCCCAGACCGTGCCCAACCCTCGTCTCTCCCTGGCCCATGGCTGAGCCCAGCTGGACGAGCTGACCCTGGAGCCACCCAGCCTGCAGGGCTCAGCGTCCCACCATAGAACAGGAGGGACCAGGGTGGGCCCAGCCGAAGCAACCCTGAGACAGCAGGGGCCTGGCAGGTGGGACCTACGGGTTGGTCCTGGGTGACATGTGGCAGATGACAGAGGAGGCCAGGGCTGCAGAGAGAACACAGGGAGTGGAGGAGCTGACCCCTGAAGTGGGGAGACAGGCAGGGTCCCTCTAGGACACTCGGAGGCCCCACGGCTTGGAGTCAAGCTCTGGATGGAGGAAGCAGCAGAAGAAAGGGGCTCCCCCCAGAACTGTGGGGACAGCTCAGGGGCAGACTGAGACAAAGGGGACGCCAGGAACACTGGATCTACAGGGCGCTGGGAGGAGGTCAGCTCTGGACCCAGGGTGGCTGCTCAGGGAGAGGCTAAGGCAGAGGCAAGCAGCCTGGGGACTGCAGGGACCCGGGCAGCCAGACCTGTGGGATCAGCCCTGGTGGGGACACTGCTGACCGGCCAGGGAGCTGGTGGCTCCGGAGAGTCTCAGCTGGGGAAGGTTTGCCTAATACTTTTTAGAAAGCATTTTATTTGGCTTGATGGTGGAAGCAGAATCTATCCATGAGTCTGCACTCAGAGGACGTTGGGTACATGCGACACTGCCCCCGGCAGCAGGTCTGTTGTGCATGGTTTACTGTGGTCTCCTCGTTTCCCCCGCTGAGGCCAAACCTGCACTTCTGAGAGCATCCGTGGCCTGGCCGACCGATGGGGCCATTGTTTATTTTTACCTACTTCATTTTTAAAATGTTTTATTTGGGGAAACAACCTTGCTACTTGGGGAACAATGAAATACTTGGGGTGGGGGGGACAGGTAGGTCTAAATAGGAAGAGCTCTTCTCTATCCCCTGACAGCAGTCTACCCCAAGTTCAACGTCTTGAAGGAAGGGTGCCTTTACGGTAACTCACGTGATTGCCATCATGGCTCAGAACCATTTCCACTGCCCTGGGCCCTCTGAACCGGGTTCCAGTCCTCTATCTGTGATTGACAGGTGGAGTCTGAATGGCGATCTCTCGGCATTAGCTGGGCTTCAGCCTCAGCTGTAGTCCCCCAAGTGGCCTCTTTGTTCCAGGTGAGAGCCACCAGATCACAAAGGAGCCATGTTGCTTCTGCTTTTAAGCCTTGACATTCATTCCCTCTCCTGGCTCTCACTGTGGGTGACCTGGACTAACATCAGCTCAACTCAAGTGGGGCCAGCAGAGAGGCATCCACCCTGTTCCGTGGGCACTTCCTGCCAGGCCTGGGGACAGGCTCTGGGGCCCTGAAGGCTGGGCAGCGACAGGCTTTGCCAAGGGCAGAAATGCAGAAAGGTCTAACCTGGACAAACGAGAAGAGCTGGGGCCAGTTGTTGGCACAAAAGGACCAGGCTGGACGCAGACTTCACAGGTCATCTCAGCCTTTTGTTCAGGAGCGGGATGACAGCCACTGGAAAGGACCCACTTTCCTGGTGGAAAATGAGCCACTGGTCAAGGAGGAGTTTGAGCTCATTCTGTAGGTTACCCTGAGAGCGTGTCAGTTTGGGTCCAAGGCATTTGGGTCTCGGGGTTGGGAGTTGGTGGCCGCACATGGAGAGGATTTATCTTGGAAGAGATTAGTGTTTCCTAATCTAGGAAACACAAGAGGTTCATCCAGGTTTGATGAGACACTTTCTCCCCAAACAGTGGCCAGCATCTGAAAAGGATTTATCTTGAAAGAGATGAAAGCTATCAGTATTTGGCTTATATTTTTCACTCCCCTTTCCCAGGCCACATTATCTTGGGATTTTTTTTTTTCATTTTTCCACATCTAACACAGGTGGGGTTGATTAGAGGGGGCAGTTTTGGGGAGGAAGGGTGGTAGGCTGAGGCACCCTCAAGGGGGAGCTGTTGTAGTCAGCTTTTTGCTGCTGTGATCAAAATGATAATGGACAGACAGATGCAGATTTGGGGAAGACAGGGTTAAGGGAATCATTCCATAAAATGGGCCCACTGTGCTGACCCCCACCTGCTTTCTTTTCCAAGAAGCCATTTACCTGCAACCCTCGCTGGCTTCAGTGGACAGGAGATGTCACATCCCTCAGCAAACTCCTTATTACCTGCAGGAGAAATGCAAGCCTGAAATAATGTCAATCACAGGAATCCATAAGAATTCATGGCTAAGAATCCAATTAGAACTGGTCCGCCTGGGCCAAAGTGACCTAGAGTTGTCACGGAGGTGGGGGACTTGAAAATCTGATGTCATGTGGCTGTCAGTCAAAAGTTAAGAGGTGGAGCTGGGTGGGGCTCTCTGGAAAGTTCTTTGGGACCCCTGATAAAACTGGAGTGTAGGAGAATTATCTTGTCCCTCTCCTCTCTGAGAGGACCCACTCTCTCCCTTGAGAGTGTCCCCTTTTGCTTTTCCTTATCCCTTCAATAAACTCATGCCTGTTACTCTGAGTGGCATGTCTGAAATCTTTCTGACCTGATTGCAAGAGTTGGGGTCTGAAGGGGGGTCTTCATGCTGCCTCGGTCTCCCAGAAGGCTCTGCAACAAAAAGACCTTGCAAGAACAATTCCAGAAGGAAAGGTTTATTTGGAGGCTCAAGGTTTCAGAGGTCTCAGTCCTTAGAGGGCCACCACTATTGATCTGAGCCTGAGGCCATGCAGAACATCTTGGCAGAAGAGTGTGGCAGAGGAAAGCAGCTCAGGGCGTGGGAGAGAGAGACTCCCCTCACCACAGGCAAAATATAAAGGCCAAGGGCACGCCCCCATTGACCCAGCTCCTCTAACCACACCCTACCTGCCTGCAGTCACCACCCAGTTAATCCCTATAAGGCGATTAATGCACTGATTAGGTTAAGACTCTCAGAACCCAATCATTTCACCTCAGACCTTATTGCATTATCTCACACGTGAGCTTTTTTTTTGGGGGGGGGGGACACACCTCATATCTAAACCACAAAAAGGGCTGACCCAGGGAAAGGACTTGGAGTAAGAAGCCAGGAGGTATGGTCCTGTTGGCAGACTGGGGACAGAAAGCGCTGGAAAGACAGATGAAAGTACAGGGGAGACTTCAGAGTGCCAGGTGCTGAAGGAATTTGGACTTTGCTCCTGATTAAGGGTTGCCAGATTTCTGGATTTCACCGGCCATTGATTTTTTTCTTTTTTTAAAAAAGATAGACCTAAAGAATAAAGGGATGAAAGTGGGGTTACTGCTGTGGATTAAACATGTCCCCCCAAAATTCACGTGTTGGAAATTATTACTGATGCAAAGGACTGAGAGGAGGGACTCCAAGAGGTGATTAGGGCCCGAGGGCTTTGTCTTCATAAACTGATTAATGACCCCATCTGCGAGGCGGTGAGTTTAAAAGAGTCTTAAACCACCTCTTGCTCCTGATCTCCCTCTCCTCTCTTCCCTGGCCCTTCTGCCTTGCACCCTGGGTGACACAGCAAGAAGGCCCTTGTCAGATGTGGGACACTTAATTTGAGGCTCCAGAAAGGTAAGAGATACAGATTTGTGATTAAAAAAAAAATAATCCGGATTGCAGAATCACATCTGGGTTAGTTTTTTTTGATGCTGCAATCTGTATACGGGGTAAAAATGGGAGTTCATAACCCACTTGAATCAAATGTATGAAATATGATATGTCAAGAGCTTTGTGATGTTTTGAACGATTAATAATAAAAATTAAAAATAATAACCCAATCTTAGAATGGACCAAGACAATGAATTACCAACTTCATTGGCCACAGTTGGTGAGGGGCCATTGACCCACAACTCCTATCAGTTATCACCCTGCTTTTCTCAACAAAAGGAAAATTTAACACCCTTCATGGGGGGTGGGGGGTAAATTGTCAAAACAAAAGGTGATACTTCTGAGAAAGGACAGCTGATGGCCTTCTCTCCTTCATTTGCCAAAGTCCCAGGGAGCCGAGGAGCACAGACAGCTCTGCCACCTTCAGTGGGCAGGGGTTGGATTGGGGCAGGGCCAGAGCCCAGGGGTCTCAGGCAGGCAGGGACAGAATAGGCGGAGCACCAGGAGTCAGGGAGACAGCTGGGAGGTCGATTCTCACCTGCCCTGGCCCTCCACAGTCACCAGGAAGGGCAGCAGCCAGTCCAATGCTCTGCGGGCCCAAGGCACCGTGGAGCAGCATCGGTCTGTAGCTCAGAACTGTGGCCTGCAGGGTGGTGACGTAGGAAAGATGGCAGGAGCTGATCCCCAGGAAGAGGGGGCAGAGACTGCGGCGACCCCTCCTACACGAGGTCCCCCAAGCCCACTCCTCCCCCAGCAGCTGGACACTTCTCTGCAGGAGAGCCCCTTAGAGATGTAGTGTCCAAGGTTCTCACCAGACAGCGCCTGGGTGCTCCCTGCTTAGCATCTACCCAAATTCCACATCCCTGGAAGGAAGGCGTGTCTTCAGCGTAAATCACATTGTTTGCATAGTCTGGGGGCCGGGAAGTCACCCTTATCAGTTCCCTGTTGACTGAGGACATTTTGGGGAACCAAGTTCCCAGATACTGGCCGAGGCATCTGCACAGATCATAGCTGCAGGTGGGCAGGAGGTGGCACACAGTAGGCTCTCAGGCACATGCTTAAGAGCACAGGGACATCTGCAGGACTCTGAGCCCTGGTCGGCTACATCTGAGCTGCGTGACTCTGGACCAATTCTTTAAGCTCTCTGGGCCTCAGTTTTCTTACCTGCAATCAGGAGGTGATAACAGTCCTTTCTCGCAGAACAGTCGCGATTGCTGTGTGACTATTTGTTCAACTGGTGCAGCTGGAGAGTGGACTTGGCTTAGTGGATAGCTAAAGAGTTGGAACCAACTGTAAATTCTGAGAATGGGGGAACAAACAAACGGATTCATTTTGGAGGCCGAGGAAGGAAGAGAATGAAGAAAACTAAAGTTTTAGGTCTAGGGAAATAAAAAAGACATAAACAAAAATGCAGTTATGGAGTTTGGGACAAGCCCTGATGTTGAGAATTTTTGACCAGTTCCATAGTCCATGGTCCTTGACCCTGACCATTGGCCACCTGGTCCCCAGCAGACCATATAGGTCCTCAGTCCCCACCTCTTGAGGAGGAGCCCCGGGCTGGGGACTAGGTGCTGATTTGCAATGCCCCGTCCCTCGGGTGTGTGCCAGAGCCCCTGATCTTTGCCTCTCTGCCCAACTGACCCTCCGTGTAAGTGTCTGTGCTCAGCTCCAAAGGCCTCACCTTGGCCTTGCTGCTGGACTGCCCCGTTGACCCTAGAGAGGCCAGCGCTGATTGGCTAGAGAGCGCTGACCTCCTGGGAGCCTAACTTGAAAAGATGCGCTAGGTCTTGGTGATTCTTTTCACAAGAATTTGGAATTAAGCCTTGTTTTAGTCTGTTTTCTGTTTTTATAACAAAACACCAGAGGCTAGACCATTTGTAAGGAGAAGAGGTTAATTTAGCTGAGGGAGGCTCAAGGCTTTGGCTTGCTCTGGTCAGGGCCTGGTGGCAGATGGCCTCCCAAGGACTGGAGGGCATATGAAGAGGTCACACGGTGAGACAAGAAGCCAGACAGCAGGAGGGACCAGTCTTGCTCCCTGTTCTGACAACTTTCTTTTATCCGTAACTCACTCTGGGGGACCCGTACTAGCACCTCCTGAGGACAATCCCTCAATGACCTAGCTTCCTTGTGCTAGACCAACCTTAAAGGTTCCATCCCCTCTTCCATTGTCCACTGAGGACCTGGCCCAGCACAAGAACCGTGGGGAAGAACACTCCCAAACCCCAGCAGGTCTTAAAGAGACAGGACTGGTTCAGCAGCAAGGCTTCGCTTGTGAGGGCACAGGGAGGCTTGGGGCCAGAGCCAGTCTTTGTTAGTCAAAGCTATAAGGAAGGAGAAATACTAGTGTTTCAGGGTGGTGGAAGTAGAAAGGTCAAGAGAGACAACCCAATAGGGCGTGGTGGTGCCCACCTATAATCCCAGTGGCTCCGGAGGCTGAGATAGGAGGATCTCCAGTTCAAAGCCAGCCTCAACAACAGTGTGGAGCTAAGCAACTCAGTGAGACCCTGTCTCTAAATAAAATACTGGGGATGTGGCTCAGTGATTGAGTGTCCCTGAGTTCAATTCCTGGTACCTCACCCCCTACCCCCCAAATAAAGGAGAGAGAGAGAGAGAGAGAGAGAGAGAGCCCTTAGCTCTGCCTTGGGCCAGAACAGTTTCAGGGCCTATGCAGTTTATAATCTAAGGCAAATTAAGTCTTTTGAGTTCGGCCTTAGAGTGGCTAACAATTGAATTTGGACACTGACTGCTTCATTGGAGCTGTGAGAGTTCAAGTAAGTCCCTTAACCTCTCTGGACCTCGGTCTTTGTTGTGTAATGGAGTGAGGTCGCCAACTTCGTGGGGTTATTGTGAGGCTTAAATGAGAACTGACCTTTAAAAGGCTTAGCACAGTTTCTGACACATGTTAAGTGCTTAAAAATGTTAGGTAGGATTACAATGTATTTGAACTCTCTTTCTTTCTCTTTTTTGTTTGGCTGGGGGTGGATCTCAGGACCTTTCACATACTAGGCCAGTTCTACCACTGAGCTACTGCTGCCACCCACAATTCTCTTTCTTGAATTTGTTCAGGTGGCTTTCTGTTTCTGACCACAGCACATCAAAACACTGGTGTGACGGATGACCTTTTTCTTTAGAGAGATTCTTACAGGGAAATGAAGGTTCTCAGGGCTTCGGCTTCCAGGACTCTGCCAGGGCTCACGGTCACATAGCAGTATTTTCCTGACAGCTGACTTCCACTCTTTCCAACACTCCGAATCCTGTTTCCATTCGTAACGGCAGTTAGAACGCTTCCATCGATTTCCATGCAGTTCCTTTGGTGAATTTTATGGTTTCTCCAGCAGCCAGATTTTTCATAAAGAATGGTGCGAGTTGACTAAAATCTTCATAATCCTGTATTTTTTGACCAAAGGCAGTTCATTAATCCTCACAATGCTGCTTAAGTGTGTGTGACAAGCATTCAGGGTCTCATCAGCCTTTGGGGGAAAAAGAAATGGTGGCCTTAAGCAATGAAGCGGTTGATCTGGAACAGCACAGACCCGAGTCTTCCAGAGCGTGGGGCCTGCAAGAATTCACAGCCCCACCCTGAGCCCCTGTCAAGTCAGAGACACCAAACTGCTTTCATCCATTTGTCAAAGTATCTCCCTGCCTCTAAGATGAGACTTTCCATTAAAGTAGGTGATGAGAGTGACATTTCTTCCCATCATACAATTTAAACTTATTTTAACAATAGAACTTTCAAATATATCCAATGAAATAAGACTCGGGGGATTTGGAGAAGTGCATTTTCTCTCGGCTTATTATGTTCTTATTACCGCTTCCTCTCTCGAATCTTTTATCAGAGGAACGATGTACTCTTTGGGTAATAGAATTGAATACCGCCTTTTGACAGTCAAAAACATAGTCTCTTAAGTAGGACGCCCGTGTTAAGGGAATGATTTTCCACCTAACAGCCTTCTGATTACAATGGACGAGCCACTTTCTCTTTCCGGGGCTGTTGGGCCTGGCTTCCTGCAAATCTGTCTCCCTCTCTCTCTCTCCACCCTTCCGCCCTTCCAATTTATCAGCTACTCTCAAGTCAGGAGGGGTTTTCAAAAGCCAGATTCGAGGCTCATCATGAGAGCTGTTGCTGGCTTCTCCCAGACCAGGGAAGATATAGCTCCTTCAGTGCATCTGGGGGTCCTTCAGGGCTCCTTTCTGCCTGTTCTTAGCCAGGTATCCATCCTTCCCACCACCTGCAGCACATGACACCCCTGGTGGCCTCCATTCCTCACGCTATGGTCTGAAGAGGATCTGTCCCCACCAAAGCTTATGTTGAGGCTTGGAGGGGCAGTGGGGCCCTCAAGAATTCACCCCTCATTAATGGATTAATTTTGTTTTCTCCCAGGAAATGGGTAAGCTTTCCAGGAATATGTACCAAGACCCCCAGTAGATGCCTGGGGCTGAGGACAGCTCTGAGCCCTCTGTATATAGTAGGTTTTCTTCTTATATATATGTACACACCCAGAATAAAGTTTAATTTAAAAGTTAGGTGTAGCAAGAGATGAACAACATCATAAAATGGAGCAATCATAAAAGTCTACTATAATAAAAATTATACCCATGTGGTCTGAGAGTCACAACATATCTTATTGTACTGTACTCATCCTCCTTACGATGATGTAAGATGATACCACTACTACATGATAAGATGAAGTAAGGTAAATGTTGTATTATGACATAGACTTAGGCTACTACTTGAACACAAGCACTGTAATTCCACAACAATTGATCTGATAACCAAGATGGCTACTAAGTGGCCAACGGGAGGGTAGTGTATACAGTGTGGATATACTGAACAAAGGAATGATTCATTCCATCTGGAGATGGGATGAAACATGGTCTCATCACACTAAGCAGAATGGCATACAGTTTAAAATTCACAAAATGTTTAATTTCTAGGATTTTCCATTTATTGTTTTCAGTCCATGATTGAATATGGATAATAAAAACATGGGCAAAGACTTAGATAAAGGGGAACAACTGTACGAGCTTTCTGGGCACTAACAACTCCACATGTGTAATCTCAAGGAGTTTCCATAACAACCCTAGTGGGGAATGCCATTATTATTTCTATTTTTCCCTGGAGGAAACAGAAGCACAGGGAGGTAAAACAACTTAGTAAAGTGGTGGAATTTGTATTTGCACTCTGCCAGGTTGGCTCCAAGCTCTCACTCTTCAGTACTTTTCAAAGTGGAGGGGACCTGAGGTATCAGCTCTGCTCTTCTTAGGAGACTACTGGCATTCAGCCAGGACCTTACCTTCTCCTCCTGGAGAAATCCTTCAATGTATCTTAGTAAACTTTACTCTTTGTCTGCCAGGAGGAGGTAAAGTAAGGTGGAATGAGTTTGCTGACTGCATGTCCCAGAAGACAGAGAAACCTCTCTCTTGGTGGCTGTAGCATCTCTTGCTCCAACTCCATCATTTGCTCCTTGGTATTTATAAAACTCGGGAGGACTTTGTTAATTGTCCCCATCAGTTCAAGTGAACTCTGATGGCACACCACTCTCTCCCATTCATTTTCTAACAGTGTTCCCAGGTTAGAGATGCCCAATTTAACAGAGAATAAATTAGTAGTCCCGTCATAAATCTTGGGAAGGTGGAGAGAAAACACTCCCTTGCTACATTTGGCAAATCAAATGAGCAAATGAGCTCGTGTTCTTAGAAGAAACTCAATTCTTAGAAACTCTCCCTCATCACACAGCTGTGAGGAGAACTGCAGATTAATTAAGTGAAATGGAAGAGATAAATACAAGAGGACGTTTTTCTGAGGATGGCTTTGTCGGGGTTTTAAGTTGAAATTCTGTGGAAGGAAGTGCCTATTTAAGTGACCAGTCCATTGATCAGGCATCTTATTTATATGCTTGGGAAATCCAAGTGACCCCTCCACCTGGCTGGCCCAGAGAGGCTGCTGGTGGGAGTGGCCCACTCTTGCTTCCCTGGGGGGGGGGGACTGAAGCACAAAGAGACGAAGGTGTGTGTGGGTGTGAGGGGGTCCTTGTTATGTGTCTTTGATGAGGATGCTTTGTACCCACTGGGAAGTGTTCTGGGTATGTGTGAGGACCAGCCTATCCTATCCCAGAAAGCTGGTCATTGAGTTGATCCTTGGGTCTCCCATCCTGGGTGGTCATGGCTGGGGTACAGTGGATAGGGCTTCCGGGGGCTCACTCTGCTTTGTGGAGGAGGGTCCTCTTTTATTGCAAGGAAGTCAGACAGAGACTAGATTCGGGACAGCCTATGGAATATGGGTGAGAGAAGAGGCCAAAGAATGGAGGGAGGGAGGGAGCCAGGAGCAGCATGCTGGATTGTTGGCCTTCTGCTTTGTTTCTGGCTTCTGGGGAAGCTGCCTGAACTGTCCCTAGCATTTGCAGCCTATTCAAGAGCTGCAAGGTCTCCTGTCTGGTGTTCTCTAGCTAGGATGTGCTCGGACCCAAACTTCAGTCCTGTCCAAAGTTCTCCCGCCTAAAGGAGCCCAGCTTTGGAGCTTTGGTTGCTACTAAGCTCTTTCGATTTCTCCTTTGCAATTGGCTCTGAGTTAGCATCCACTGACTAGTGGGTGGGGACACCACCATATATCCCCCCGCCACACACACACATTTTATTGGGTGAAATAAAGATATGACGAATTTTAAAGTGCTTTGAAACTACAGTCATTCACAATCAGGAGCTCACTGGAGATGAACTCTAGTGTCTCCTCATAACAAAGACCTTATAGTCGTTGGGTATTACAACCTGGGTGTTACATCACAATGATCCCCTGTCCAGGCTCAGGATTTCACTCGGCCTAGGCTAGAGACAGGGGAGAGAACACAGAGCGTGTCATAAGTAGGTACTTATGCAGGGACCTCTTCCCTCTGTGTTGCATGGAACGTCATCCTGTGTTCATTCATTCCACAAATGTTACGAATCATTTGCTCTATGGTCCCTTGGATTTGATGTTGAAATGACAGGACTCATGACTCTCCATGGGATTTCCAGGAGGAGAGCACAGCAAGGCCCTGGACATCTTGTTCATCTTGGTATCTTCAACACCCAGCACTTATATCAGACAAATAGCGAATGCCCAGGAATCTGATGAACGAAAGGACAGATAAAATTGTCCACATGGACTGCTTTTTCCATTATCTCTGTAGGATATTTTCCAAGAGTCTACCACTGTCGTTCATTTCTTCAAAACAGGAAGATAATAAACTTTTCATCAAATTAAATCAGTTTAAGTGAAACCATGGGGTTTGCAGACTTTCAGAGGACAGGGTAGATATGATATGATATGATATGATATGATATGATATGATATGATATGATACGATATATGAAATGATAATGCTACAACCCACCTTGCAACAGTGTGCTAAGGGAACAAAGCCAGACACAAAGGACAGACACTGCATGATTCCCTTTATAAAACATACGCAGATCAACGTTTACTACAATGGCAAGAACTCTGAAAAGCCCTGGTTGGCTCTCTAGTCCTAGGATCTGTGACGGACGACCATGCTCTAAATGAAGGCTGTCCCTAAGTAATAATTCATGCACAGGGATAAAGGTGACGTTCTGCCATATGCAGGAGCAACTGGAGCAGCAAAAGGAGAAGCAGGTCCCTCCTTAAGGGCCTGTGACTTTGATCACCAGGGAGGAGGTTGTGATGACAGGACTAGACATTTCTATTCCAGAGACAACAAAGGCCAAAGTCCAATCCAATAGGATTCACTGTGATAATCATGAGACGGTAGGAATTCACTAAGGGAAGCAACGTGGAGACCCACCTCAGCATGTCCTTTGTCCCTGGATTGTTAAGACCTTGGATATCGATTCTTGTTCTGGTGGAATAGCCAAGGCATCTCTCTGGCTTGCAGCTTTCTCTCCTTCTTTAATCAAGATTCCCTCTTCCTCAGGTTTTAAATGTCACTCATGAGGGACTCTCATTCTGAGCCAGGTGCTGAGCAAACAGAGATCAGGAAGCGAAGTCCTGTCTTCCCTGGGTATGTGCAGTGGGGCAGGAGCCACTCACCCATAACTCCTCTCCCAGCACGCCCTCAAACCATGGTGCATAATGTGTTGAGCAGCGAAAGGTTTCTTCACACCACACTGGAGGGAAAGGAGGTGGCTTCTAAGAGGAGGCAACCCTGGAATCTGGGCATTCCACGTTGAGAAAGGGCCCTGAGCAAAGGCTGGAGGTGGGCAAATTGAGAAGCCCAGACCAGAGTCAAGAGGTAAATACGGAGAGACAGCCGAGAGAGAAGCATGTCTGAGTCTAGAATCACAGACATTCCTCCTGCGCTCTTGTGAGGGGCTCAGGTTTTACTCCGTAGGCAATGGGGGACTCACTGAAAGTTTTCAAAAAAGAGAAAACTGGAAACAGGTCTATATTTTGCAAAATCCTGGAGGCTTCCCCAAGGAGGATAGATTGGAGGGGAGGAGGGACGGGGAGCTGGTGGCATGGAAACCTGTTAGGGCAAGTTTGCAACTGTCCAGGTGAGAAATCACCAAGGGAAAAGAAACCCACACACCAAGGCTCTGTCAGGTGCAGGCAGGGCTTCGTACTGGGACCTGCTACCTCCTGTAGGTCCCAGGAGAGCTCTGCAGAGGTTATTATCATTGCCACTCTGCCTGTGAGGAACGGAGAGGTGCCATGGTGTCAAGCTCATATGGCAAAGAAATAGCCTCCCTGCATCCACGGGGGCCACTGGCTGATCATGGGGATCAGAGGCTGGGTGAGTGACAGCTGTGTGGGAGGGCTGCTGGGGAGGAGAGGCAGGTTGATTGGGTGAAGGGAGGCACGGATGGTGCCAAGGACTGTGAGCTCCAGGCGTGGCAGAAGCCCAGCCAGCAAAAGGGGCCAAGACTAGTTTAATGTGTTCCCAGTCTAAACAGCCAGAGCTTATTTTGCCATACCCAGACGCACACCTTTATCACTGCCAAATAGCATTCTTTTTGATAAATTCTTTTTAGTGCATAAAAAGTTTAAAGTCTTACATCTAAAGCAAAACATAATATACTGAAGTCAATGATGTAAGTTTAAATATTTGGGGAAAATGATCTTTGCTGTGTTTTCGATTCCTACTTTTCTTTTTTTCATCTGCTTGAGTTGGTGTGCTCTGTACTAACTTCTAAAAGTTAATGCACTATGGTTTCTTTTAAATAATATTGAACTAGTTTTAATTCTTTAAAAATGTTCCATTTGGGTACAAAAAATGTTCTGTTCAGAGAAATTGTTAAAAATAAAAGTAATAACAAGATCATTTAAAACTTCTGTATGCTAAGAGTTTCATGATAACTCCCAGAAAATTCAAATATATTTTTAATATATTCAGTTTTACTTCTAATGACATTATGCAAAGTAGTAATTACATCTGTACTGATTTTGCCGTCTTATGAAAGTCGCCTTTGCATATACTGTGTTGTTCTTTCTTTCATTGACTTGTTATCAACTTAAATCAATAAATCAATATCCACCTTGTCACATGGGTTGAAGCAAGAAATGCAACCAAGTCAGCCACTCAGCTTAGCCCTGAAATCTTGGATTTATCTATGCAGGTATTACAGCCTTTGGCCTGTATTCCTTATGCATTGTATTAGTTTAGGTTCTCCAGAGAAAAAGGAACCAATTCGATACGGCATAGATGTAATACATAAAATATACATTACAGATGCACAGTATTATAAGGGATTGGTTCCTGTGGGCATGGAGGCCGCAAAGGCCCAACATGTGCAGCGGGTATGCCAGAGAACTAAAGGTAGAGTTCCAGTCTGAGTCCAAAGCCTGGGAACCAGAAGAACCAAGGGTGTAAATTCCAGTCCGAGTTTGGTTCAGAAGGCAGAAGACTTCAGAGAGCCAGGGAGAGAGGAGTTCCTTCTTCTGGTTAGCAGTAGGGCCAACCTTTTAATCCCATTCAGGCCTTCCTAGGTTGGTGTTTTAAAGAGGAGTGTGCACAGGCCTTAAAAGACCTCCCAGAGGTTCAGTGAGAAGGGCTTTGAGAAGAAACTGTTGGGTGAGTGTTTAGGGTGATGGTTCTGAGTTTTGAGAATGCAGTCATGGAGCCCCTTGAAGGCAGGTGGTTGCCATGGTGATGAATGGTGAGTCAGGCAAGATGGCGGAAGGCCTGGAGGAAGCTGGGAAGAAAGTTTTTGAGACTAGGAGAGATGAGTAAGTGGGGAAGGGAAGACGCAGAAAAGAAACCCTAAATGCAGCATTCCTGGAGAGGATGTACTAGGGACTCTAGCAGATGCTGTGCTGGGCCTGGTGCCTCGTGGGTGCCATTACAATAGCGTACAGTAGATATTTGCATCAGACACTGCTACCGGTGAGCGGGTGTTCATGCTTCCCTGCCCCCCTCCTGGTAACTCCTCTGTTTTGCTCAGGGCAGCAATGTACCCAGCTGGAATATTCACCTTGTCACATGCTCAAGCTGCAGCGGTGTGTCCTGACCCAGAACTGACACCTACAGGGTGGGGCTTTGAGGTGAGTTATTATTTATCTTTGTTTTTTTAAAAACAGAGTCAACTGGCACATGCATTTTGTCCTTTACCCTTTACTCTTCCCTCTTCCTGTCTTCCTAGAAGGCAGATGTACAGACAGAGTATCCAGTGGCCTGGAGGGTGAATCTCCATTTGTTAAGGATGGTGGAGTAGAAAGAGCCAAGGAACTTGGTTCCTTAAGCAGCAACACCAGCCCAATGAGGAAAAAACAAAGCCCTTACTTGCTTCAACCACTGTTTGTCTGGTTCCTATTAGGGGAAGCCAAATGCAAACTTGACCGTCTATTCTATAACCTCCTGATTGTCCTCAATGAAGCGAATGGGCTCAGATAGTTTAAGCAACTCGACCAAGACCACTTAGACCCTGGAGACTGGTTATTCAAAGTCTGTGGTCCATGGATCCACAGCATGAGCCTCACTTGCGAGCTTGGGCCTCACCAGAGACCTACCAAATTAGCACCGCATCTAACGTGATTTCCAGCTGCTTCACGTGTGCAGTGAAGTTGGAGAAGTGTCGGTCTGGATAATGAGCAGAGCTAAGATTTGATCCATGTCTATTTGACTTCAAAATGCACACCCTTCTTCTGAAATAGGAGAGAACAAGATGATATATTATTGCACAGATGTGAGTCAGCTTTTCATTGCTATAACAAATATCTGTGGTAACTAACTTATAAAGAGAAAAGGCTTATTTTGGCTCACAGTTTTGCAGATTCCAGTCCCTGGTTGTTTGGGCCTGTGACATTGCTTTTGGGCCTCTGACAAGGCCGCACATCATGGCAGAAGGTGTGTCGTGGAACAAAGCCATTCACCTCGTGGAGGGGAAGTGAAAGAGAGGGAGGTGAGGGGATGGGATCCAAGTATCCACCTCAATAACTTTCCCCCAATGACCAGAAAACCTTCCTCTAGGCCTCCCCTTTTAAAGGTACTGCTACCTCTCAATAGAACCCACTTGGGGACACATGGGCCTTAGGGAGCGCTCCAAGTGCTAACTGTAGCAGATGCCTTCTGAGACAGAGAAAGGAAGCTGCGGAGTCTGTGGCACAGGGCCTGAATTTTCTCAGAATAAAGAGTGCTAGAATGCTCACTCACTGAGAGCAACTGCACACCTGCTGTGTGCATCAGGTACTAGAAGTAAAAAACTGTCTCTGTCTTCAAGGATTCAAAGGTAGTGGGGATACTGTGACAATGACCAATATTTATGATATTGCCCTGAAGGCTATAGCAGAGTCTTGAGAATCATGGAACGGCACTTGCCCCTCCCCTCCCCCACCTCTGAAATTCCTTGCATTAAATGGAACTGTATCGCATATATGGCCCAAGCTCAAGGGTTCGTGATTGTCGGGTGGTCACAGGCTGGGCTAGAGTCAGATGAAATGACACTGGGCTACTTAATTTTCACTTTGCTTTGCAGGAAGCAGACTCTACTCCATACAAGTGATCTTTTCAACCTGGAGCAGAAAGCGGTGGTTTATGGAGAAGCCGGAAGGGGTGGGATAAGGGGAATTGGACACGGTCTGCAGAAATGCCAAGTGACACCTGGGAGGAAGAATAGTTTCTAAAGACTTGTTTGTTTTCTTTGCCCAAAGAAACATGGTTTAAGAGGCCAACCTCAGTATTTGTCGCAATTCACAGAGTTTGGGCTCCCTAAGTGCCTGTATTTAATCAATATTTTATGAGTTTGAATCATCTCCAATGAACTTGTACGTTTCCTAAATGATGAGACATTCCTGGACAATGCTTTCATCAATAAATTATCATGATGGCGTATTTAATTTGAACTCTCAGTGCATTTATTTGGTTGGAGGCGTGAGTGGCTGTGTCAACGTCTTGCCAGAGAAATGACTGTAAGAGGAAAATGGTGAACATGTGAGCAGGATTTTGTCCTGTGTATCTGTCTGCTTGGTGCACGGCTGAAATAACTGACTTTTGAGCAAACAGCCTGCTGTCTTGGTGATGGACCTGAGTGAGCTGGAGAAACCGATGCCAACGGACAGGATGACTCTCCTGTTGGTAGGAAGGGAAAGACGGCCACACAGGGCCAACAAGTTAAGGAGAAAGTCACGGCATCAGGAAAAAGCAAACTAAAATGGTTATTTATTCATTTTTATTTAATTTGGGGGTACCAAAATTGAACTCAGGGGCTCTCAACCACTGAGCCACATCCCCAGCCCTATTTTGCATTTTATTTAGAGTCAGGGTCTCACTGAGTTGCTTAGCACCTCGATTTTGCTAATGCTGGCTTTGAACTCACCATCCTCTTGCCTCAGCCTCCTGAGCTGCTGGAATTACAGGCGTGTGCCATTGCATTTGGCTTAAAATGTTTATTTCTAAGCAGAGACTTTCAATTTCCTTTTTTCTCAAAACCTTTAAGAAATACACTTTGACTTGGCATCAGGGTGCCCAGCTGTAATCCCAGGTGCTCAGAGGCAGAGGCAGGAGGATCGCAAGTTCAAAGGCAGCCTCAGCAACTTAGTGAGACCTGGTATCAAAATAAAAAATAAAAAGGGGTGGGGATTGACTCAGTGGTTAAGCACCCCTGGGGACAATCTCTGGTACAAAAAAAAAAAAAAAAAGCAGAGAGAGAGAGAAGACAACAGGTCCAAGTAGCCAGCTAGGGCCGGGGAGAGGCTGCCAGACACGAGTGTTTCTCTGAAGAATGCCAGAAGTTAGATCTATAGTGCTTAAGACTGGAATATTTCTGAATATAGATTTAAGAAATAAAGCTCAGCATCCATGCAGAATATGGATATAACTTCCTGGAACCTTGTTAAAATTCCTTTTCCTTCGTACATTTCAAGAAAAATAGGCACCTTCTGGAGAAAGGTCTGATGGTGTTTTATGGTAATGCAAGGAGGTTCTAGTAACAAGAGACACGTCCATCTCTGTTTCCTCCAACGCAATCAGGAAGAATTTTACTTTGTAACTGGCCCAGGGAGCTGCAAAGAAACCAGTGCTCCAAGGCAACATCTTGGAGGCCGACGTCCAGCCTGGGCCTCTCGTTTTATTGGTGCTTGTTGTACTGGAGCTTCGTGGTACCTAAGACTTGGGTTTGAAAGTGGGCTTCAAGCATGATGTCTGCCATGGAGGAGCCTCATCTTAGGTGGGTCTGCTTGTCAAATCAAGACCACAATGTGAGTGCAAAATTTTCTGGGGGAAGTAAGATAGGCTTGGGAAAGCAGCCAAATGATTTTTTTTCCCTCATTTTTAAAAATTGTGGTAAAACCTACATAACTTTGAATGTTCCGGGTTTAATAGTTTTTGAATTCACTCTCCAGGGGCAGTAGGTATATTAAAATTGTACAATTGTTGCCACTGAGCCATTCTCACTACTTTCCAATTGTTATGGGTTGGATCTGGAATGTCCCCCAAGGTTCATGCTTGGACTTCCTAGTCTCCAATTCTGCCATATTCAGAGGTGGGGGCTTGGGAAGTGACTGGATCATGGGGCCTCTGACCTCGTTAATGGAATAATCAAATCCATGGAGAGATTCATAGCTGACGGCATTATTGGGAGATGGTGGAAAATATAGGAGGTAGAACTGAATTGATGGGAATGGTCCTTGGGGGGCTGCCTGTATCTTGTCCTTTCCTCCACCCCTACTGTTTCTTGGCTACCATGAGTAGTTTCTCCTGCTATGCCCTTATGTCATGATGTTTCCACCTCATCACAGACCTGAGAGCAACAGAACCAGCGACCACAGACTGAAACCATGAGCCTAAAACAAAACAAAAACAGAACAACAACAACAAAAAATTTCTCCATTAAGTTGATTTTCTCAGGCATTTTATCATAGCAATGAAAAGTTAACATCCAACATCTCAAACTATTTTAGTCACCTTTTGTACCACTGTGACCCAAAGAACTGCAAGAACAATGTAGAGGAAGAAAAATGTAGTTTAGGTCGACGTTTCAGAGGTTCAGTTCATGATTGGATGACTCCATTGCTCTGGGCCCAAAGTGAGGCAGAACATCATGGCAGAAGGGCCTGGAGGAGGAAAACTGCTCAGGACATGTCAAATAGGAAGCAGAGAGAGAGAGAGAGAGAGACACAGAACTGGCTCACCAGGAACAAAATATAAACCCCAAAGGTATGCCCCTAGCAAACCACCTCCTCCAGTTACACCCTGCTTGCTTATAGGTGGTAACTGTAAGCTGATGGGATATAAGGGGACATTTTCCTGGGATAATCTTAGACAGGGTTCATCATTCATAGAAAAACATGGAGAGAGAGAATTGGCCCCTTCCGTAAGACATTGCCATCTTGAGAACAAGGCCAGTCATACTTGGGAAGGGAGCCCAAGGATGGCAAAGAGGAAGATGACTCTGAGGTCACCAAGTCACTGAATTAACCAACTAGGAGTTACCCTACTTAGGGACTGATCTAATGGGATATGGCAAACTTTCTTCACTGTTTATACCATTTGAGTTGAGTCTTCTATTACTGCAATTGAAAGTATTGTAATTGGGTAGTACCTTACACCTGGTATGTCCTTCCAAACAGAAACTTGCACTTCATTTAGTCTTTTCATATAATAACTCCTGGAGGAGACTCTGGAAAAGAGAATACCAAACTAAATCAAAATAGTCTTGAGTAAAACAACTTTTATAATTTGACGATTCTTTTTTGTTTGTTTTTGTGAGCTTGCGGATTATCAAACAAACAAACAACAAACAAAAAATCCAGCCACAGAGGATAGAATAGATGATAAACATAGCCCATATGGTGCTATGAGAAATATTAGAAGTATCAAGAAAAAATACAAATAAACATGAAGTTTAACTTCACACGAATGTTATCTACTGGAACCTGATGTCTTGTTAAAACTCCAACATGTTTTATTTTCACAGGGCATGGTGAAAGAGAAAAAGCGTAAACCACAGCTAGGAAAATAGATGGAGGCTACTCTTGAGAGTGAGGATAGAAGATAATTGAGTGTTAAAAGACTAGGGTTTGCTTTTTGTTTGTTTATTTGAAAATCAATAAACAATCTTTGAGTAGAAGAAGCTGCCAAAATATCTCTGGAAAAACCCCTAGAGGCAGTAGAAGAGACCTTGGATATTCAGTTTCTTAAGAAATAAAAATAACAGCATGTAAGATAACATTGCTGAGCAAATCTACCTACATTGGACCATGCTACAGAAACCTCTACAAAGGGGCTGGGGCTGTAGCTCAGTGGCACAGTGCTTCCCTTGCATGTGTGAGACACTGGGTTTGATCCTCAGCACCAAATAAAAGTAAACAAATAAAATAAAGGCATTATGCCCATCTACACCTACAAAAAAAATTTTTTTATAAAGAATCCTATACCAAGCGCCAGAAAGGAATCCAAAATTTGCTTACAGGCTTGGCATAAGCAAGGTCTTTCAAAACACAGTGAATCTTGGAAGTGGCTACCCTTTGTCTGGGCCACGTAAAATTTGGACATTATAATTCACTAATGTATCTCAGGCACTTAGAAAATAGAAACCCACAGCTCATATGGCTCCATATTTGGGAAAATTGACACATGCCCATTTCTGATTCTTTAGCCAAACGTTAACAAATAAGGCCTGAAGGGCTGGAAAAGAACACCCCAAGCTCCATAGGGGCCCAGAAATCTGCAACGAAAGTATCCTCATTTTAAGTGGGTCCCAATTCAAGCCTCGGGGACCATCTCTGGGGAACAGAGGAAACCACGCTATCTTGGACCAGGGGCAACCATTTAACTGAGCTCAAGCAAGGTTTACTTGGATGCAAAGTGAGAATAATTATCCTTCCCCAACTACCACGGAGCACTGGAAGGCATAAAGCCTACAGGATGCTCCTTGGATTGGCTAAGGAGGACGATGCGTTGCTGTCCCTGGTTCTGGAGAAGTCCAGGTTCCCACTAGGCAGGATTTCCTCCCTGGGCACTCAGTCTCAGGGATGCTCCTCCTCCTGGAAAGTCAGTTAGCTTCCACACACTCAATGAACACCCCTGGCTCAGGACTCCTTGAAGAGGTGGTCTCCAGTTTTCCACAGTTGCTTCCAGAAGAATCCCAAGTGTCTTGCTGTGAGATCACTGGAGGTTGAGAGCCTTCATATTTCCCTCTCTGAAGGGCTGAAGTGAACCTCCCATCCTTTCACTTGGCATTTCAACAAACTGAGGGCATATCTACGTAGCTGGAGAGAGCCTGCTGGAAGGGGAACGCTTGAGGTCATGTCCTCTCTCTCTATTCTCACCCCCTGCTAGCTGCTTTTGGACCTGGAGGAGGAGGACAGTCCCAAGTACCCACCAGAGGGTTAGGGACTGCTGGAAATCCTGAAGAGCAAAGCTTCTCTATTGGACCAGGGGTATTTGTAGCTAGTCTGAAGAAGAGTGTTTTAATAACCTATCCTTCAAACCACAGGAAAATATCAGTGTTCCAGTCTTAGTTCCTTTTTGTACCACTTCTGTTCTAACATTAAGTGCTATGATATGGTTATGATTTGAGAGTGTCTTCAAGGTCCATGTGCTGGAAGCTTGGTCCCCAGTGTGGCAGTGTTGAAGTGGTAGAAGCTCTAAGAGATGGATCCTAGTAGAAGATAGTTAGGTTACTGGAAATGCTGACCTTAAAAGGATTCATGCAGTTCTCCCAACACTAAATGGCTATTTTAAGAAAGCACTAGTCAAGGTTGCTCAACACGCTGTATCACTGAACTATGCCCAGAGTCCCCCATTTAATTTTTATATCTCCTATTTGCTGAGATTTTTATCTTTTATTTATTTCTAGAGAATTTCTAATTGACTGTGAAAGCATTTTTATGACAGT